TTCAATTTGCTCTCCTAATGGTTGTAACTATTTATTTATCGTTATTAAATACTCGTAAACTCTCTTTTTCACTTAGCGTTTAGCCGTGCGACTTTTACCTCTATAGCATATCTCGTAATAACAAGGGCGTTAGAAATTGCAAGACTATGCTTGTGGAAAACGGGTCTAAGTGCTTGATATTGGTAGAGTGACAGATGGCAGCACTTTAGAGTTTAATGGTACATTTAAGGACGATAGACAACTGCAATTAATATCTTTGAAATTTCAATAAATAGTTATTCAAACGAAGGCTTTACTTTTTTGAATGCAGTAGTTCTGACAGGCTTTGAAAAAAGTATATAGCAAAAAAATGTCAAAACACAGGCAAATAAATTCGGACTTTAAAATGGGTTAAGGCGCATTTAAGCGATGTAGATTTATTGGTCGTTGCATATAATAAAGTTGATGCGATAATTTTGTATAGTTTAAAAGCTGGTTAAAGATAAATGTATCTTGATAAATAAATAAAGAAATCAAAAAGACATAGCGAACAAAGGGTTTTTTTAAGGTTCTTATTCTAAGTGATGATAGTGTGAATATATTGATTTTAATTTTGTAGTGTATATTACGATTTACGATTGTACGAATCGTCGTACCTAATGAGGCGTGTAACCATCTGTTGCAAGGAAATGAGGAAAGGTACCGATTTGTTTGTTTACGAACACACCAATGTAGTTATGATTTATAGTGATTTATCGTATTTTTAATATTGTTTTTTGTTATTGTAATTGAGACTTTGTTATATTGTTTTGGAAATAAATCTTTCTTTGGTTTTCTAAGAATTTTTATTCAGGACGATACGGTTTTATACGTATAAATTCTATACTACACTGATATAAAAAAGCGTAAACACACACTACTTTGTTATGTAAGATGTCAGCAATCACATTATGTTTTTGAATATCTCTTATCTAACAATTTTTAACAATAAGTTATATGCTAACGACAAGCTTTAGGCTATATTTTCACGCTATTACACAGCATGGTTACCATGGTAACGATAATTTTTTATCCAATTTCATCAATTTTTTTCAAATTGAAATGCTCAAATGACAAAGGCCTACGTTGTCATTTGTGCATTTCAATTTTGACATTCGTAATAGATTTTTTTTACAAATTCAAACAATAAAACAAAGTTTTTATAATTTCATGCGGATGAAACCGCACGGGAACAGCTAGTAGAAAAATAAACTATTGAATTTATAAGTCTATAAATTAGTTAGGCTCTAGAAATTGTTTGTTAATAACGGCCAAGCAATTTAACTGCGACAGATAATGACACGGTTCGTTTATTTTAAATGAGAGTGATTTGTTTTTAGTAGAATATTTCAATCTGTTTATAATTGGACGTAGGTTAAAAAGGTGAATTGAAAATTTATTTCCATTGAATTTTGTCGATAAAACGAACTTATCTTCAAATTAAAATATTACGTTAGGAGTAATTATTTCTGTTGTATTTTCAAATGAGATGTGTTTTATTTTTCATTTGTACTAACTGACAATAAAGTTTTAAAATGAAAATGTATTCTTTTGTTAGTTAATGAAATCTTTTTTTTCTACTTATACATGTACTAGCTTTCGCCCGCGTCTCCTACCACGTGGAATTAAAAAACAAAAACAAGTATCCTAATAAATATCCTATGCGTTTTTCAAGACTCTTTCTACATCTATGCCAAATGATATCGAGATTCTTTCAGCCGTTTAGGCTACAAACTTTAACAAACATTCAACCATCCATCTATACTTTCGCATTTTAAATATTAGTTAGATTAGTAAAATCATCAAAATACGAGATTTACAAAAAAAAATTCGGCATCGCCCACACCCCTGCAACGAGCCCGGTCTATTTCATCATCTCGTCGACCTTCCGACCGGTCCCAGTGCCGCCCTCTTTGCTTACTTACTTGCATTCCGATCGCTATTTAATCTCTATATATTATATATTAATTATAAAACCAGTGCCCTCGTGTGTGTACGTGACAAATAAGTTGTAACGCTTAGGGCTGGCAACGTTCAATTAAACGCGACAGTTAGAACGAAAAAGAACGAAATATTTCGTATTCAAATCGTTTATAGATACACTTCGTATAGAAAATAAGAGAACTTAAAGGGGAGGCAAAGTGTTGTTCTTTTTAATGTACTTTAGAAGTGCCAAAATCGCCTCTTTTTACCATGCTTGGGGCGTTGCTTATAGGGTCAAGTGAGACTTTAATACAATTTGTGACGCCCCTTTTCGTCTAGGGCCCTAAGCCGTCGCCCAACTGCTCCCTGTAAAAGCCGATACTCTACTTTGGTGTAAAACAAATGATTACATAGGAATACAAAATTAGTTTGTTAATTTTAACCGTTTTGCAAAAATTATCAATTTTTACAGTATAAGCTTTAATTAGAGTGTAGTGTTGCCATAGCCTACAGTTGAATTGTCTTATTTCCGACACGTAACAATTGCTCGAGGCAAAAATAATGATAATGAAATTGTGCAATTCTCCATATATGTTAAGATAAACGAGTTTCTTTCAGATGTTTCAACTGATCTTTGCGTCTATAAATACATTTTATAGGGCAAGTGCAATTACGATAATGTCCCAGAAACTCCCACAATGCTATAAATTAAGCCATTTTTATACATAACTTATCAATTATTGATATTAATTGCAAAACGACTGTTAAATAATCAAGGTCCTTTTATTTCGTTTTGTATGTGTTTGTGTGAATTCTTAGAATTTTTGTTATTTATTGCTAAATCATGAAACTGTAATAGAAAATAGGTTTTGTTAATTAAATTTTATTGTAATAGAACTTTAAAATTGTCTTTACACTGTTGTTTAGATGACTTGCAAATATTTCATATATTTATAGTTTACCAGCTTTAACGCGCGACTTCGTCCGCGTACACTTATAAATTTAAAAAAAGCAAGTATGTATCCTTTCACACGATCTCTACATCTATGCCAAATTTCATAATGATCCGTTCAGCCGTTTAGGCTACAAACTCTAACAGACATCCATCCATGCATCTATCCATTTATAATATTAGTTTCTTGTTATTGTTGCTTTACCCTCAGAATGTTGTGTCTATGTAAGAAGTCTATGTGTTCTTCCAGACTATACTTTAAATCTTCGTCAAATACCGAGATCAATTTAGACGTTTAGGCGGCAAACTTTAGAAACATCCATCTAAACTTTCGCATTTATAATATTAGAAGTAAAGTATACTGACTTTATAACGTTAGATTATTCAAGATCATTGCATTAACTGCATAGTGTAATAGTTATCAGCCGCTAGAGGGCGTGAATGCGGACAGACCGCATTGCAAACGTTGTTCGTCCCACGTGCCGCACTGCTTTTTGTAGCGATATCGTACTGGAATCTTGCTAACAAATTACGGCTTTTAAGATTAATACAATTGCAGTGCTGCGAGTATTTTAGATGAATAAATCAGTCATCAACTCTTATTTCGATTATGTGTGGTTTGCGCACAATTTTATAGATGATATAATTGAAATTAAACTATCGCACAACTATTAAGTCTCGCATTCTTATGAGCTAATATGGAGGTAACTGAACAGTTGAATTGGCTGCGAAATAATCGATAATCGCATAACTGTTGAGTTGTGCGATAGTTTACTCAAAGATGTGCGCCCGCTCTTAATGTTTTGGTTTAATGTTTACGGCCGGCCGCCTGTCGCCAATCCTACTTGATGTAAACAATTGCAGGATGGATTTGAAAATGAAATAAATAACGCATGTCCATACTAATCGACGTAAAATTAAAAATATGTACGTAGTAACGATATTAACAATTAAAAACTCGCCTTCGTATTCTACAGGAAGGCAGAGATTAAGAATTTACAATGTGCGTGGTTTAGCAAACCTCTCTCGCACGCACTTTCCTACATCTAAGCATGCACTTCATAGCAACAATGGTTTAAAAAGTTTTATTTCAATTTATATTTTTTATTTGCTCAAATGCTATAGAGAGAATGTATCACTGATCAAATTCGTTACGAATTCCCCAACTAAAGGTTAACAAACTTAATACCGGACAGTGGTAAGATAGTCCATTCCTATCATGTGTGCTTGCCTCACGCGCATGTCCTGGTCACCCCGTTTCGCGACAGTCGTGAGGAGAATATACAAAATATGCTCTACCAAATGGAAAGTTAAATTCGCTTTTATTGCGTCGTATTGTATTAAAGGATATACAGCATAATATTTGTTAGCAATATAGATGTTTTTGTAATTTATGGTTTTGAAAATTGATTAAAGAGAAACACGAAGGTATATGTGTTGAAAAATTTCGTTTGTGTATTTAGTCAAAGTTTAACAATTTTGCTTTAATATAAAAAAAATCATTGTAGACCACTTTTTTTTTTGCTAGTAAATAACAACAATTTAAGGGGTATATGGGCAGATGTAATTTGCATGCATACGTTTTTTAAATGCCGTAGACTTTATGCTTTGTGTTATAAAAGAATTCTAACCATCTGATTAACATACTTGTTTTCTACTTATTGGATACTCCTTTTTAAATAAAAAGGCGAATGCAAATGAACCCAAACAAAGAGAAATGTAAAGATATATTATGATAGGAAACATTTGTAACCAACTAGGTGTAAATCGCGGTGACTCCGTGGAGGATAATTTTACAAAAAAAAACCGGTAATATGTGGACAATTATTTGTATTTTTGCAAAGAAATAACATTTAACGCGCAAAATGTAAAGTATTATGATTTGTGAAAAGTAATAATATGCTTCATTACCTCATTATTCTGTTCCTTGCATGGTTAGAATTTTCCTTACAAAGGTTTATTTGTAAAGGATCAATATTATAATTTGTAATTACATACCGTGTTAACAACTAACCAGTTCAAATGCGACAGGTATATTGTATGAATAATTCTAAATATTATACATATTGTCTTCCGTATTCTTTATTGAGGTGAAATAAAACTGCAGTTCGTTTTTACGAAGTTTTATTTGTGATATCAAATTTGTCAGGAACAAGATAACATCAAACACAAGATTTAGTACGTGACTAGTTAGGACGAAAATAGGACATTTTTCGTAAAAGGTGGCCGAGAAGCAAATGCCCGTAAATGAAGACAGTATAGTTTTATGATCAGCAAATTTAGGCTCTTGAAATTACGATTTATTTCTTTAGCGTAGATTTTATGCTGAATTAAAAGTGAATTATTGTTTACCATACGGCCCTATAATAGCCAGGGTTCAAGAGCTGGGCATTGTAGTTAGGGATGACGGATGGCACATAGGATTTCAAACCAGGAACGTAAGAGATTGGAGCAATGCCGGGGTTCAACCAAGGTTGGGCCACAAAGGCAGCAGAAATGACGGGTGATGGGTGTGTTTGAGTCAAAGTTGCAAAACCTGTGTTAACGTCTTTGATCGCTTCAGAAGCTTTTACTGCCGCAGATTCAACTTTGGCTGCTTCAACTTGCACAGAGTCTTCAGATTTCTCTACATTTTCAACGGGTTTGCTTTCGGTTTCAGCAGATTTGACCGCAGCAGAAGCTTCGCTTTCAACATTTTCTTTTTTTTCTTCTGCCTTAGCCGGTTCAGGGGCTGCGCTCTTCGCCTCTGCTACCACAGCGGCGCTTTCTACTGCTGGTTGGGCAACAGCTGCGGGCACTGTGTACGCAGCAGCAATAGCACCATCTGCGCTCGCCATAGATCCCTCGACTTGGGCTTCAGCGGTTTTTAGAGCATCTAAAGCTTGCCATTTCTTTTCTTCAGCAGCCCAGAAACTTTCCTCGGCCCTCTCTTTGGCTAAATCGTTGGCTTCAATGACACCTTCATCTTGTTTCTCGACTGCTTGTTCAGCTAATTCTCTCGCTTGGTCGGCTGCGGCTCTAGTGAGATCCTGTACCTGCACCTGTGCGTTTATAGCGGCAGCTTGCAGGTCACCTGCTGGGATAGTGGGCACTGCAGCTGGGATAGCTACGGCAGAATAAGCTAATGAATAAGGTACGATTGGAGCGAAAAAGGCACCAGAAGGCGCGCCAGTCGCGCAAGCCAGGACGGCGGCAGACAATATCTGAAAGAAAAAAATGACGTGAATACTTCCAATAATCAAGTGTTTTGTTAAAAAAGTAGTGCGACAAACGTTTTTCAATAAGGAATTTACAATTGTAATTTATAGAATGCGATAACTGCTCGAAGGTTAACTGCAAGTTAGATTTTGTATTAGAATTAATGTATGCAATTAAAAATCACTTGAAACTTGACTTCGAACTGTGAAGTAATTCTGGTTGAAGAATGATTTGCTAATTTTAGAGTCGTAATTCTGTAATTATGTGGCAAAATTGTACCACTATCCTGTAGATTATAGATATCATAAACTAAGTTAAGTACTAAATTTAAACATTTTAACCTAAATATATTCTTTCTTTATTGCAAAGCATTAATAATACTTTTCAAAATTGACTGTTGCCAGTATTATTCTATCATTTATAGATTTATCATACTTTAAAATATTATATTTTAATTGATTTTTTTTTCATATATAAAGCTTTACTAGTATGTCTATACCAAAAATTGATTAATTTACAAATATTTCAATATTATTGTTTATCAAATATTAATGTAATTTAAAGCTATACTAAATCAGAGTTCATATTAGCAATATCCCAAATTAAAATAAATTTAAAAATTTGAAATTCAATTCGCTACATTGTTAAAATTTATTATTCACTTAGTCACATATCACAATAAATTCACTCAAACAAAGGAACACAAGACTGACCAGAACTCTCATCGTGCGAGATGTCTCGAAAGCTACTGATTGCCCTCATCTCGTCTCAATCCGTTTTTATAATACCGCGTCATCAACAACCTCTATATAGAACAAGAGGACTGGATTCTGTATGCTAAGATTCTTGAAAAAAATAAATTAAAAAAAGTTGCCCGACAAGGGCGGAAAGAATGCAGGAAGCGCGCGCTTTTTGACAGTCGATGGGCGCCGGTTTGATTGCCATGGTACATTTTCGACGCATGAATCGATGTTACGTCATTATTTGGGCGGCTCCTAAGATGCATTAGTTTAGCACCCGGCTGCGTTCTAATATTTTTCTTGTGATTGTAATGAAGATTATTAGGCTGTATTTTATTGTGTTACCAGTAACTTTTAAACTGATTATTAATGCGACATTTTAATTATGCAACTATAAGATATAAAAATTCAAACCTTAACAAGCTGAAAGAATAAACGGAAAAATTTATGTAAAAGTTTCTGTTTGAAGTATTCAAATAATTCAAAGTTATTGATTTGATACTAAACAAAGTTATTTTAAACGATTCGTGGGTATAGTTAGATTGTCTGACTATAGCAATAAAAACTACGGAAATCTCAAATCAAATCATAATAACTTGAAAGGCGATAATTTAGTAAAAATTGAATGTAAATGTTTGAACTTGAAACTTCTTAAATGAATTGTTTACTTCCCCATAAATTGTTTCAGATTGCTTTTTAAAGACAATGATATGAATATTTGTGTTGTTAAATACAGACAGACGTCCGTTTTATCTTTGTGCATATATCTTGTTAATGATAAAATGTAAATTGGTATGTCTGAGTACTTGGGTACTTACGAGTCATTTTATTGGAATTAATCGGTAAATGTCAACGTCTAGTTTTTTATAAATCGTTATAGTTATGAAAATGTCAGTACCCAGGCCGACAGGAAAATTGATGTTCCCGGTCATTTCATGAGAAACATCCGCGTAGGGTTTCTTAGTTCAGTGTCGACTCATGTAGGATTCACACGCGTTTAAGGTTTTTATTTTATTTGTGTTACAAATAATAACAAAAAATTGTTAATATAAATATTTTTAAATAGCTTACGCCCGCGACTCATTCCGCGTGGAATTAAAAAAACAAAAGTGAGTAGCCTACATGTTGTTCCAGACTCTATGTCTATGCCATTTTCGTCGATATCCGTTAAGCTGTTTAGGTTACAAATTCTAACATCCATCAATCTTATCTTTCACATTTATAATATTGGTAAGATTAAAATTAATTTAGAAAGATTATGCTTTTGCTAGAGCATAACACTAAGTGTGTTAAGTTGTTTATATCGTGACATATGCTAATAACTTAATAACTCAATGTTAAATTAGTTAGAAAGATTTTGCTAGGATTAATTCCAGATATTAATTCAATGTAAAAATGCTAAATGTCAATGCTATACATATTAGACTAATGCAAATTCAAGTTTTTAAACTAAAAACCCTTCCTGCTTTCTGGCCTGCCACATACCCCTGTCATCTATACTTCTATACTATTATAATAAAGCGTAAACACACACTTCTTTGTTTCCTAATATGTCAGCAATTACAGCATATTTTTGAATAATCCTTTTTTTAATAAAACGCCCTACACTTACGTCACGCTTTAGACTATATTTTCACGCCATTTAACTTAGGGCGTAAATATTTTGGATAAAAACCCTATTGTGGGAAAGATTGAGTTGCTGCCAACATCCAGGAAGCAACGTTGCCATGGTTTGTCATCGTCATGTCATTTTGACATTTGCAATTGATAATTTGACAAATGCAAGCAATAAGATAAAATTTTCATAATTTCATGCGGACGAAGCCATACGGGAACAGCTAGATCATAATAAATTGAGGACAAGTCTTAAATGTTTTTATTAATTGAACCAAATAGAGTCTTACGTCTTAACACGGAAAGAAAGATAGACACGACGGGGTAGAGGCAATGCATCTGTTACAAATTATCTTGCAGATATCTGAAAAGCAGTCACATAAAGCCAACTGACCATCTTGTATGTCCCCTACTTGAAAAAAAAAACAAGGCCTACGTCATCCATTTATCTGAAATTCATTTATTTGTTGATTGGGATCAGCTGGGAAACAAAGACGTTTTAATCACGGTATGAGATCGCTATGCAAGGGCGATTACCCGTGATCATTTTCCGCCGCTCTTGAACCGTGACGCGCGGGCAACGACCGGCCGACGCACGCGCACGCACCCCGATACAATCGTGCTGCTTTGTTAGTTTTCTATATCGAAATACTGTCAAAGGCTGGAATCAATCTATCTGTATAAAGGCTGGAATCAGTCTATGACGACGCTGTTCACACCGTTCGGTAGTCAACTTCTTTTATAAAAAACTATGTAAAACCCTAATCTCTGATATTATCTTAGAATGCAAATAATACATTTTCCTACAATGAAGATAGTAAAATTGACATGTTTGTGAAATTATCGGTGATGAAAGTTAGATGTATGTTAACCATTTTTGGACACGATTGAAAAGTTATTTCTTTCGTATATGTATCAAATTATTAAATGACTTAATTTCTTACTGTCTTGATTGCCTACTCTTAATTGTTTAAGATTATCAAACTTTATGATGCATATTATATCTCTATTAAGCACATCATTTTAAAAAATGATTAACGTAATCAGTGAATTAAGCTTTGTAAATTATACGCGTTGAAGTCTTTTGTTAGAGTTAGTTAGCAAATATGAATCTTACTAATATTATAAATGCGAAAGTTTAGATGGATGGATGGATGGATGTATGGATGTTTGTTAGCGGTTGTAGCCTAAACGGCTGAACGGATCTCTATCAAATTTGGCACAGGTTTAGAGCATAGTCTGAAAGAACACATAGGCTACTTTTTATCCCGGGAATAGTTACGGTTCCCGTAGGATTCATTAATTTAGTTTTTTAATGTTTACTCGATCATTCTTGGGATAAGCTTCATCCCCGAGAAATGTCCGGTTCCCGAAGGATACGTAACTTTTTGTAATTTATATAGTTTGTATGTTTTCTAATACCACACGGACGAAGTCGCGGGCAACAGCTCGTGTAGTATAAATTGTATTAATAATCATACAAATTGCCTTTTTTTGGTGGAAAACATTTGTGTTTTATCTGTTTAAAGTTGATTTCCATATAATTTCTGACTTATTTTATTGTCTACATAGTCATATAACAATATAATGAGCTCCACTCAGAACGATTCACTCGTGTGTAGCAATTTCGCAACAGCACATTTTGCAATTGCAATTCTCTCAGGCGTTTCATTATTATAGTGTCGTACAAAGAGATGTCTCACGACTCTTTCAGTTTATTGACAGAAATTAGTTCTAGAATGTATGAAATAGCAAATGTTATAAGTATTGTGTCTTTAAATGTATATTTGTTATGTTTAAATCAAATACAATATGATTATTTGGCCAGTTTCGGAATAATGTGATTCTATTGTTTGTTTTTTTATTTTCTATACATACGGCGACAGATGGCTTAGTACAAGCTGTTATTGAAAAAACATATTGTGTTTAGATTTATAAATCTATCCTAATGTTATAAAGACGAAAACTTTGTTCGTTTGGTTGTAATGAATAGGCCCACAAACTACTTAGCCGATTTTAAAAATTCTTTCACCGTTAAAAGGTTATTTATCTGTGAATAACTTAAGCAATATTAATTCGTTTCTTTATTATTATTAATAAATTTCGCTCTGATGGAGTCGCGGGCAAAAGCTAGTTCGAAATAAATTTGCAGAGCTTTTGCAGTTATTATTTCGTAGGCGTCTCTCGCTTTATCTAGCTTAGTTTTAATTTTAGTACAGGAGGTACAGAGCGAACATATGATACACGAATACTTATCCAAAATTACATAGAATTTAATTAGGTAAAAACACTTGTTCTTTAAGGTATTTTTATACGGAATTGGACTTTTTTGCTGAATTTCACCATACCTAACCTTAAGCGAAAATTAAAGTTATAGTTTAAACAATTTAGCACCTGACCTTTATTTAATTTCCGTATTATTGACAACCTATTTTTTATTTTATTGATACTCCTGCAAAAATTCAATGAATCTTTTATTGTGGTGTTTGATAAATTATTGTTTTAAGATATTAAAACCAAACCTACCATAGGCTTTGGTAATTTAAAATCTATTATAATAAAAACAAACATATCAATTTAACTGTATCAATTTATCATCATCAACTTGCCCTTATCCCTTACATCACCTCTATCAGCCGTCATATGATCATACATCATACATCATATACATCTCTATCAGCCGTCCTATGAATCCTCTCCTTTCTTAAGCATATCCTCGTTCACACAATCCATCCATACATTCTTCGGTCTTCCTCTTCCTTTGTAGCCTCCACATTCATTCTTAACACTTTCAGGCATCATCATCTCGCATCGTCACGTCGCATAACATGTCCATACCAAGCTAACCTTATGCTTCTCAATTTCTAAACTGTATCAATTTTTACTAGATTTTTGTTTATAACATTGAGTTTTCTTTATGACTTAAGTTTTAATTATAATAATTAAGTTAATTCAATTAATTTAGATGTATTTACTCAGCCAACTTAACACGGTGTTAATTTATGATTAGTACCTTTATTGGTTTGACATTTGACTTTTGACATTTAACTGTGTTCCTTTGTTTCAAAGAATGGTAATTCCCTTTCGCTCTGATTCAACTCGATATATCGGTTCAATGTTTTATTATCCCACGCAAGTTACCTACTTCTTTGTCATATTTATAAACGACATATATTTATGTGGTCATTTTCCTTACTATCTATATGAGATATATAATTATTATTAAAACTCGAAGGCTCTATTACAGTCGCTCTAATTCCTTGAACTCATTTTTTGTATAACAAATGTACTTGTTCAAGGTTATGTTGATAATGTAGTTCCGCTTGTGTCGCGGAATTTCTTAATTACATTTAAAGGCGGACACTTGGTCGTTTAATTTGAGCTTTTTTATTTAATATGTCTGAAATGTACCTCGTTTTTAATATTTTTTATAAAAGCAGTTAAAGTCTATGGTCGGTATTG